CACACACACACACACACACACACACACACACACACACACACACACACACACACACACACACACAGAGGGAGAGGATACCTCGGAGGAATGGCGAGAGAGGAGGAGGTCGAGGTCGGAGATGGAGGAACTTGCCAGAATCTTGCCAGGATGGAGTTTGCGAACCCAGCGTGAAAGTTCGTATTCAGAGTCCCAAGAGACTCACAAGAGTTCCAGATTGTCGCCTAGGGCCTGGGTATTCTGCAAAGTTGTCTGCCGCATAGGCAGGGCAAGCAGCCTTGAAGCAGGGTAAAACAGGGTGCAGGCCCAGCCGCCCAGGGCCCAACGGAGAGGTGCAGATTGCAAATTTGCACACTTGCCTGACAGGGGCACAAAGAATCCAGGGGAAAAGGGCATCCCGGTCTACCCACATCTTTTAGGGGCATTTTGGGCATATAGCTCACTCAACTTTCAGGGGTATAACACAAATTTCACATTTCGCCCCCCCCCCCTCCCCCCCTTTCAAAGTTCAAATTAATTTTTAATCCCTAATTCAATTTTTGTAAGTCCCTTGGCAGTGTCTGAAAGTGTCGTGCACGGCACTGCCCGCCGTAGTGAAAGTGGGCCTGCAAATATGTGCCAATGCCTGCTTATAGGGCTACGAGACCAGGCTGAGGGGCCCAAGCAGAGCCTGTTGGAAACCCCATGTGGGCATGGATCTTCTACGAGGCCTTGTTATGAGTTAGCTCCTCGGCATGCTCCTGTAGGGCCCTTTCAGCAAGCACGAGCCCTCCCTAAGTGAAGGCCGGCCCCTGAATATCAAAATGGCCTGAGTTTGTCAAGTTTGACAAAGTTTGGTGGGCGCCAGACGGTTGCCATGCGCCAGTTGGTTACATCCTCCCTACTTGTGAGGATCAGAAATAATTCGTGAGCCTTCTACAGTAGGCTTTCCAGCAGCACAGGCGAAGCAGGGAGGAGAACCTCACGTTTACTCCTGGCCCCTGGGTGGTTGGGCATGCCTAACCAATTGGGTCCCAGGCCACGGTCTGAATGGGCGTGGGCGCAGACACTTCGGCCAGATCGGGAGCTACTGGAAAGGCACGAGGCCCAGACACTTAGACAGCATACTGGGCGAGCACATTGCAAAACCACTGGTGGGCTCATCGGGGCAGTAGGAAGTGCATGCAGCTTTGCGCTGCTGAGGGCAGCGCCATAGCCAGCCCTACATAGCCAGGGCTTGGCATGGACAGCCGGTGGAGGTGGTGGTTGTCTTCGTGCATGGGAGGAAGACGTGGGTAGAGAAGACGAGGGAGAGAGAGAGAGAGAGAGAGAGAGAGAGAGAGAGAGAGAGAGAGAGAGATGAGGATGAGGATGTGAGGGCACGTACCTGGTTTTGGCGATGGTCCACAGCAGGGTCGACGTCTTCATGTACTTCGGTTGTTGCTGCTGACGTCACCAGGTTGCGTTGTCAATTCGTAGGCTGGTAGTAGCTGTGTGATTGTAGTCTGGGCGCTGAGCGCCAAGCCAAGTAGGAGGAAGGGCTCTGGATACGTATGTGGGTGATGGCGAGAGAAAGCTCTCATTGACATTCGGAGTCGGTGCTTTGGTTCTCTGTTGGTGTAGTAGTATCAGCGCATTATTGCTTTGTGGACAGCGTTGGACTTTCTGGCTGTCAATGTGATTTTGCATTCTGGATTTCTGTCATTTCGCTAACGCTCATTTTCCTTGCAGATGGAGATAACTTTGTTTTATGAAAAAAAAAGTAAAAAATAAAATTCATTTTTAATGCAGTTCTCCACCTGTTTGCCCAGTTTGCAGACGAAAATAATGCGCTAAAATTGGGATGAGATAGAGAAGATTAGCATGGCGTGTGCGCGAGGGATGACACGCATTGAAAGGGAAAAAAAAAAAAAAAAAAAAACCATCGTTATCTATCTGCCATTTAAGTATAGAATTAGGAGAACGGGCTCCCGTCGTCACACGAATAGAAAGCCCCGTCATTATCATGGCATGTGGACGGAAAGTTGCTCCAAATACGGCTATCATTACCATTGCAGCGCTGTCATTATCTAGTCCGTTGAAGACGGCAGTTGATGAGAGAAGTGTGGATAGTATCTCCTTTCTTTTCGGATCGTTGACCAATGACCATGCTATGCTCAAAACACCCATGTATTGAATATCTGGCCAGAAACTAACTCCCTCATTCTCTTGTCTGCTCTCTTTGTTCGTGCTTGTGTTCGTGTCTTCTTTTCTTTTTCTTTCATGTCTGTCTGTGGCTCTGTGCACGTGCGCTGTATTTCTCTCTGATGGTCTGCTGTGCCGTCGTGGTAATCGGTTCAATCCTGGTTGTCTCCGACTCACATCCACACACCACCAGCCCCCTCCTCCTCCCCCTTTCACACGCACAGTGTGCCTCTCTCTCTCTCTCTCTCTCTCTCTCTCTCTCTCTCTCTCTCTCTCTCTCTCTCTCTCTCTCTCTCTCTCTCTCTCTCTCTCTCTCTC